TCTCTTTTATTGTATACTAACACGGCTCAAGGCGTTCAAGGCGCGCTCTGATTGGCCTCTTAAACGCCGAACATCCCTTGTTATTCACTTCGGAGCAACTCGCAGGGGATTTAGGCCGAAATATCGTAATCGTTACAGGAATAAATAAGTTAAGATCATCTTTTTTGTGCTATTTAGTATATACTTAAACAACTATCCACCTCCGAGTCAGAGTCGGTGGTTAACGTAAATAATTGCCTCGCCGCTTCGCGGCTTGGTAAACACCCACAGCAGCAGCATTCATCTACCACAAAACTTTCTCTACTTCGGTGAATAATTATAAGCTACCGTTGATTTAATCCAAAGATTGTTTCACTATCACTATTTCCAGTTGTTCTCATTGCCACAAAAAGGTCGGATGCTCCATGATAGTTTGGTTTAGTTACCTGAGTTGATAATGCGAATTAGCCACCATGAAGAGATTAAGGTCAGCTTTGTTGGAATGGCATCCTGAGATTCAGTTCATGCCAAGAACAAAAACCGATCCATACACAGATCGACTCACCACAAGTACCACCCAGTCCTGAAAAATTGAAGAATGAGGATTGCTAAACTTACTGATATAATCTTTTTTATTCTTTACGTAACCTCATCGCCTCCAGAGACTTAAGTATCTAACCTCCAACAACATCAATTTATAAATAATTTATTTGCAGGTTAATGAGAGTTCTTCAGAAACAGAACCATTGACGACAGTGGCGACTTCACTGGGACTTTCACAATCCTCGTTGACGAGAGAACAGCCAGTATCAGCAATGGTGGCTAACACTGAGGAAGGAACAAGAGAGAGACCCGAGATGAGCTCCGTTGCTGCTGCATGCTCCTCTAGTCAGCAGGTCATGTCTTTAACGACGTTTTCCTCACGTGAAAATTATGAGAGTTCTTCAGAAAGAGAACCAGTGACGAAAGTGATGACTTCACTGGGACTTTCACAATCCTCGTTGACGAGAGAACAACCAGTATCAGCAATAGTGGCAAACACTGAGGAAGGGACAAGAGAGAGACCCGAGATGAGCTCCGTTGCTGCTGCATGCTCATCTGGTCAGCAGGTCATGTCTTTTACGACGTTTTCTTCACGCGAAAATTATGAGGCGTTGCACAACTCCACTGTGAACGCCCAAGTTGCAGCAGTTCCAAATGCAGGGAATGAAAACATTGTCCACGTTCAAGAGGAAACAGTCCGATGTCCCGACACGTTCAGAAACAAACCTCCAAATAACACAACTCAAGGAGTGAATCATTCAGAAGATTACCTG